ACAGAGAACTACCAGAAATATAAGTGGGCTTTAGAAGAGGCTGTGGTACTATGAGTATCATTGCAAATGTCAGATGGATCTTGCCTGAAAGTAGAAAGTACCAGAGGAATGTCTGTGTTTCATTGACTATGCAAAGGTATTGGACTGTGGATCACGACAAATGGTGGCTAACCTTAAGAAGAATGGGAATCCCAGAACATCTTACTGTGCTCAGATGAAAGCTATACTTGGTCCAAGAGGCAGTCCTTAGAAAAGAGCAAGGAAACACTGCATGACTCAAAAAGAGGAAAGGAATGCTTCAGGAATGTGTCTTGCCTTCATCTTTTCAATCTATATGCAGAACAGAACATGTGAGGGGCTGAACTTTATGTTGAGGAATATAGCATCAGGATTGGAGGAATACTCATCAACAGCCTGCATTATGCTGATGACACCACCTTGCTTGCTTAAACTGAGGAGGGCCTGAAGCATTTGCTGCAGAGAGTCAAGAACTGTAGTCTGCAGTATGGATTGAAGCTCAACATTTGGAGAAAACACTAACCCCTGGGCCAATTGGGAGCATCATGATAGATGGAGAAGAATTTAAGATTATTAACTCTTTCAGGTGCTTGATTCCACAACTAACACTCTTGGCACCAGCAGTCAGGAAATCAAAAGATGAATTGCATTAGGAAAATGCACTGTCAGGGACCTCTCCAGAGTGCTAAAGAGTAATAATAATGTCCATCTTGAGACTAAGGTGTGTCCAATCCTGGCCACTGTCTTCCCAATTGCCTATTATGCATCAGAGAGCTGGACAATGACCAAAGAGGACAGAAGAAGAATTGATGCCTTTGGGCTGTGGTGCTGGAGAAGAATATTGAATATAACATGGACTGCCATGAGAACAAACAGGTCTGTTCTAGAGAGGGTGAAGCCAATCTGCTCCTTGGAGACATGGATTTTGAAGCTCTGTCTCACACACTTTGGGCACCTGGCCAGGAGGGACCAGTCCTTGGAGAAGGACATCATGCTTGGAAGGGTGGAGAGTCAGCGTAGGAGAAGACAACCCTGGATGAGATGGATTGACACAGTAACTGGGGTAATGAGGGTAAGTGTGTCAGAGACAGTGAGATTGACCCAGGACAGAGCTGGATTCAGAGCTATTCAGAGTCTATATGCATAGACTCCATGTTGTTGTTGTTGTTATGTGCCGTCGAGTCGCCTGCGACTCATAGCGAACCTATGTACAACAGCCCTAAACTCCGCTCTATCCTGTGCCAATCGCACTGTCTCTGACACTCCCATCCCAATTATCCCAGTCACTGAATCAATCCACCTCATAGAGGGCCTTCCTCTCCTGCGCCATCCCTCCACCCTCCCAAGCATGATGTCCCTCTCTAAGGACCGGTCTCTCCTCACAACATGTCCAAAGTAAGTTAGATGGAGCCTCAGAATCCTTGCCTCCAAGGAGCCACCCGGTTTAACCCTCTCCAGGACAAATCTGTTTGTTTTCCTAGCAGTCCATGGTATTCTCAACACTCTTCTCCAGCACCACAGCTCAAAGGCATCAATTCTCCTTCTATCCTCCTTGGTCATTGTCCAACTCTCTGATGCATAACAGGTGATTGCGAAGACCATGGCCTCTATCAGACGCACCTTAGTCTCCAGAGAGACACCACTGCTCTTCAGCACTTTGGAGAGGTCCCTAACAGCAGACTTTCCCATGGCAATGCGCCTTTTAATTTCCTGGCTGCTAGTGCCAAGACTGTTGACTATGGAGCCAAGCAAACTAAAGCTGTGTTCAATCTCAATCTCTTCACCATCCATCCTGATGCTGCCAATTGGTCCAGTGGTGAGAATCTTTGTCTTCTTGACATTAAGCCTCAATCCATATTGTAGGCTGCAGTCCTTGACACTCTGCAGCAGGAGCTTCAGGTCCTCCTCAGTTTTAGCAAGCAGGGTTGTGTCATCCGCATAACGCAGATTGTTGATAAATCGTCCACCAATCTTGACCCCACATTTCTCCTCATAGAGCCCAGCCTCCCAGATAATCTGTTCTGCATATAGGTTGAAAAGGTATGGAGATAGGATGCATCCCTGGCGTACGCCCTTCCCAATTTTGAACCATGCAGTGTTCCCTAGCACATAAAAACAACAAAAACAGTCAGGCCAAAAAAGAAAATTTGACAATCTGAATAGTGGATTAGAAAGTAATTTTTTAGCCTATACTCATCAATCCCTTCATTTTCATGTCTTTAATCTATATGCATGACTTGCAAATTCTCTAGTTCCCTCTTGCCCTCCATTCTAGATTGACTTTCATATTTCAGTGCTTCATCTTTACCTGGTTTCCTCCCATGATCTCAAATTCAACAGGAACCAGCCAGCTTCCCTTCCACACATCACTATTTCTGTCAATGACACCATCATTCTTCCAGTCACCCAGTTTCAATCTTGGCATAGCTGACCCTACTTGCCTTCCACATCTATTGGGTCACCAATTTCAGTGACTTATTTCCATAAAAATATCTCACACTTTTATTTCTTCCTCTCTGATCCCATTTTGTACATTCTACTGCAGCTGCAGAGAACTGCCAGAAGTTATATGCAGAACAGATTACTTGGGAGGCTGAGCTCTAAGAAGAGAAATGTAGCATCAGGATTGGTGGAAGACTCATCAACAATCTGTGTTATGCAGATGACACAACCCTGCTTGCTGAAACTCAGGATGATATTAAGCGCTTGCTGCAGAAGGTCAAGGACTGCAGCCTTCAATATGGATTGAAGCTCAACATCAGGAAAACAAAGATTCTCACCACTGTGCCAATTGGCAGCATCATGACAGATGGTGAAGATACTGAGATTGTTCATAGTTTCAGCTTGCTTGGATTCACAGTCAAAACTTTTGGTACTAGAAACCAGGAAGTTAAAAAAGGAATTGAATTGGGAAAGTCAGCTGTCAGAGATCTCTCAAAGTACTGAAAAGCAACGATGTCAATCTGGAGACTAAGGTGTGCCTGATCCAGGTCATGATCTTCGCAATTACTTGCTATGCATCAGAAAGCTGGACAATGACTAGGGATGAGTGAAGGAGAATTATTGCCTTTGAGCTGTATTTGAATATTTAATATACTATGGATTGCTAGAACAAGTAAGTTTGTCCTAGAGAGGATAAGACCAGGCTGCTCCTTGGCAGCAAGGATTCTGAAGCTTCCTCTGACATACTTTCAATATGTTACAAGGAGGGACCAGTCCTTGGAGAGGGACGTCATGCTTGGGAGCGTGGAGGGACAGTGAAATAGAGGAGACTCTCGATGAGATGGACTGATTGATTCAGTGACCGGGGTAATGAGAGTTAGGTTGTCAGAGACAATAGGATTGGCACAGGATAGAGCAGGCTGTTGTACATACAGTTGCTATGAGTCGTAGGCGACTAGACAGCACCTACCAACAACCACCCCAGCCGCAACTATTCTACAATTATTGTGAGACCATTGAAACACATTAAAACAAAAACTTCACTCTTTGGTGAAGACTCTAACTTTTCACAATTCTGAATCCAAGGAATAAGAGTCAAATTAACAATCCTGAGTAACGTGACCTATACCTTTGCAATTTCCCCTTCCCACATCCCTTCTTAACAGTAATTTTACCTCTCAATTTTTATTTGCAGCTTTTTGTCACAACTAGGGCAGCAGAGTTGCACTATGACCCCTCCTACCGGTGGTACCACTGAGGCTGCTTTTGCCTTGTCTCTTCAGAAACACTAAGTCTTCCTTGTTCCCAACTAGATATTTAACTCCTGTAGAGCACAGTCTCCTATCTCTTGAATACTGACTACCTTCACAGTAAACGTTAATGAGGAGTGAAATGATAGGTGGTGTTACTTCCAAAAAGATGTTAAAATACAAAATGGCAAAGGGGTACTTCGCTTCCCTCCTCTGTCCTCCCCGGGATGGGGCCGTTGCTTTCCCCTGGAAGCCCCCTGGGTGGCGCATGGCCAGCCTGGGGCGGGGGGGGGATTGCTCCTGGGCGTGGAGGTCCGGGGGTTGGGGCGCACTCCCCACGCCCCGCTGCCTGGCGCGTCTGTGCGGCCGCCGGGCGAGGGCAGGGAGGCCCCGCTGTTCCGCGGTAGGAGGTAGGTGGTGCTGTTGCAGTGACTTGTCTTCCCCATTGGAGCCAGATCGGGAGGCGGAATGTTCAACTCCTAACTCGGGCAGAAGCGTGGGAGCCGCGCGGGCCGCTGTCCTCCCGACGTCCCTCCGCAGCGACCACCGCCCTCCCCACGCGCGCGGCCTGTGCGCCCCCGACTGCTGCTAGTGCCCGCCCGAGAGCCAGGTGAGGGCCGCTCCGAGGGAGCCGGGGACCGGGAGGGAGAGTGGGAGGCCCGCCATGCTCGCGAGGCGCCTGGCCCGGCGTCCCGGGGCCGAGGCCCTCTCGGGGGCCGGAGTTGAGCGGGCCAGTGGCGGCAGGGGCGAGCGTTCCTGGCGCCAGAGGAACTCATTAACTGACCTCCGCCGCGCCGCGGTCAAGTGTGGCTTGGGGAAGTTCTAGCCCGACCGAGGGAGAAGTTGGCGCCCGAAGAGCGGGGCCCAGTCCGAGCGTCGTCCCAGGCGTTGTCGGCCCCTCGCGAGCAGCACGGGCGTGGGGCGCCTCCCCGGCCGCCGCACCGCCTCCTGGGCCCGCGTTCTGTGATGGGACGCGAGGCCCGGCCGGCGGAGCCCTCGAGCCCGGGGCAGGCAGCTCCGGACCGCCGGCCTCGCACAGGGCGGCCGGGGTACCTCTCGCGAGGCGGAACGCGAGCCTCCCCAAATCAAGGCCGGACGCAGACCGCTCCCCGCAGAGGTCTGTGCGTGCGAGCCGAGAAGCTCAACTTCTGCTTCCCCCGAGGCCGGCCCCGGGCGGCGTTTCCCGCCGAGGGTGACCGCTGCCCGCCCTTCCTGCAACTGTCCGCACACCCGAGCGTCGCCCTTGGCCGTCCCTGTGGGGAGAGGGGGTCCCCTTGACTGAGTTGAGTGGCCCCGGTTTCGTGCACTCGGAGACTTGCAGCAGGCCGCCGGGCGAGCCGCAAGGATAGCCGCCGCGCCTCCCTTGCTGTTGACAGCTTTGGTGAAAACTTTAAATCCGCCTAGATGACGTTGAATTGCCGGGAAAATGGGGAGCTATTGTTAGATTACCGAAAGTGTACATTCTTGATGCGCCTTTAAGTCTCCCATAAACACTGTTATGGGAAACTTAATTACTATTTGTGCTAGTTTCTTCTAATGAAAGCAAAACGATTTAGTGGCCGATCTCGGTAGTATTAACTGGAAGCCACGCGCAAATGGTGTGTTAGAGTCGTCGTCTTACAGAATTAATTGGAGGATATCAGAGTTTATATTGTTCAGATAGACTCCCGTATTAACTAACTCTAGAGATTATTGCTGGAGAATCAGAAGGCTTTCCTGACGTTAGCCAAAGTGTACAGCCAGGATTCAGAGGATCCAAACACACAACAAATTTTAAGAATAGTCAAGTGATTCAAGGCCTATCAATGTCTTTGTGCTAGGTGCAGCCCTACAATAAAATTACATGACGTTTTTTAAATAAAAAATTATAGGCGGTAGCATATAAGCGACGATTTTTGTAGTTTTTAGCACTTTTGTTGATACTGCTGCTAGTAGTGAGAGATTTGGGAGATTCCTAAGTAGATATGAATTGAGTTTGGAGTGTGAATTAGCATAAAAATGATCTTTTGGAGCGGGGTTTACAATCTAATTCCTACCATAACTTCTGTTTATTTGGCGATTTTTTTTAATACTGGAAAATATTATTTAAGGCTCAAGTTTAAGTGACATTAATTCCACATAAATGACCATAATGCACTGACAGAAACTTTTTATTTGTCCTGGAAGAGAAATAGGTCTTTTTCCTACTCTTTTGAAGAACATATTCAAGAGAGAGCATAATTTACAAATATTAAGCATAAGGATTTGGGTCTAAAAATGGATGGTCAAAGATCTTGGGAACTAAAGGACCTTTTTTTCCAAATAAGGAAACTTGGCAAGCTGCACTGTATATTTTAAGTTAGCATAGGAATAAGTGCTATTGGCAATACATTGGCTGAATGCCTATCTGGAATGAACAGCAAAACTGACTTTGTTAAGGTTACAGAATTGTAAACTGAAGTGAGGAGGGGCATGAAGTTGAATATATAAGTCATTAGAGAAAAGGTTCAAGACATTATAGTGATGTATCTTGAAAAGAGGTCAGGCATAAAGTGAAGCTTTTAGTGTGGTGCAAAAGACCGAATGCATAGTTGATTCTAGAAATTGATCGAGAAGAGGAGAGCATCAGTGATCTAGCCCTCTTCAACAATAGAGAAAAATGGGGTTTTGGTGATACAGGCTTTCTTGAAATGAGAGAACTTTTCTGTGTATCCTTAGATGAAGGAAATAAAATCCCTTTGGATCATTTGTTCATTTTATTCTACCCAGGACAGATTGACAAGGAGGTTGTCTCATCTATCCAAGTCTAAGAGGAATAGCAAAGGCGCCTTTTGGTCTTACTGCAGAGAAGATTTAGGCTGCTTTTCTGTGACTATTAACCTTGCCTCACTACTCAAATAAGCAGAATTCCAGCTGTGACCAGAAAACTATCTGTTAAGGGAGGAGAGCTTTAAGTACTGGAGCTTAGATGGATTTTACTGATACATGGGTGCTTTTGTGTGAAATCCTTTTCCATTATGCCCTAAAAGTAGTTCATTAATTCCAACATAGTAGAGGATTCTGTGGGAACAAAGCAACCATGCATTTCACACCCTAACCCTAGCCTCACAATTGCTAATAGGAAATTAAAGTCTTAAATTGAATTTAGATGGATAGTAAGCAGTTTAGTAATTATTATATTCATTAAGAAACCCAAAACCCACTGCCATTGTGTATATTCTAACTCATGGAGATGTGTAGAACTGTCCCCAGGGGTTTACATAGCTGTAAATCTTTATGGAAGCAGACAGCCCCATCTTTCACCTGTGGAGCAGCTGGTGGGTTCAAACTCTTAACCTTATGGTTAACAGCTGAATATCTTAGACACAGAGCCACTAGAGCTCCTCAGAACAAGAAACGAAGTGCACTTAAAGGGAGGCAGGATTCGGAGCAAGGTAGGTGAGAGAAGGCAGGAAAGGTAAATTTGAAGAGAGACAGATGTTGTGGAAATGACTTTGAAGTCAGACTTGACTTTGAATCCCATTTATACCACTCTATTTTTTTATGATTTTCTTTTATATTTGCTTCCAAAGTTCGTATACATTATGTTTCACACTATTTTTCATTCACATTTTGTTTCTTACAATTATTCCCATTCATTATGTGTTTTTTTCCTCCCAAGTCAAACTGTATCCAGCTTTGTTAAAGATACTTTTCATAAACAATCATGGTATTTCAAGCAAATCATGGACCTGAATCGTTAACCATACACAACAACTTTCAAACTCCCTTCTTCAGTGGACTACCAAAATCAGAAAACCACTATAAAACCCAATGAAATCTTCATTTGATGCTCTGAACAGGGAAAGTTTAGAGTGAGGGGTTGACATTTCACATTTAGCATATTGTTTAAAAACTTTTCACAAGCTGACCCTGACTTTCAGAAAATGAAAGAAAAATGGCAGAATTACCAATCTGAAGATCCACAGTCTTTAAAAGGGAAGGGGGAAGGAACTGGTGCTCTTTTGAGGAATGCTACTCAGATGTATTCTGACAAAATGGTAATCAATTTCTTAGGGGGGTTAGGTCCAAAAGGTCTCTGAATTTACAGGAGTCAAGTCTATGCTGAAGGCAGAGGGAGAAGAGGACATAAAAATGGATTTTTGTGCCAAGTTTGTCAGCACCAAAGAATCCTTCCTCCTGATTACCAAGAGAAATTCTCTCAAAGCTAGAAGGTAAAGGTGTTTTCATTCACATCAGTTCAGCTTCAGAGACATACTATTAGTGACATTTGCTCCTTCGCCACAAAAAATAAAGTGTTCCGTGTGCTTACGATGTAGCTTAAAAAAAAAGTAAAACAAAATTTTCCATTTTTATGAAACTTGATTAAAAAAATAGTATTTCAAACTGTACAGTCACCAGAAGCACACAGTTATCAAAAATGAACACACTTCATTCATTATGAAGATCCCATTCATTGTGTTTTATAAAATTAATCACCATTTAGACTATGCCCAGCATTACCCTTTCTTTTTAAGTCCCGACTAGATCTTTCTCTTTTCCTTTACCCTCTCCCTTCACCCACCAGCCATTTATTCTTACCATTTGTATTATGTACAACTTTTACACCTTTTATCCTCAGTTTCCTCACATGCAAATTTGAGACAGTAATAGCTTTTATTTATTTTTTTTTTAATTTTTTTAATAGCTTCTTTTAAAGAAAACACATATAATACAGTGTACAGAAATGCTTGACCTAATGTTGGGAACTCCAGTCAGCATCATTGAGTGGTAAAAAAACTGCTTTTCCAAATTGTTCACATTATACACAAGGAAAGGTGATGTCTCCCCTGTACCAAGCTGGGACTTGTCCTACATGCAGATCATACTATACATGTTGTAGAAGTGGGAACTTTTCAGTTATGCGCCTCTTTAAGTGTTTTCTAAAGTGGCTCTGTGAACCTGTGCTTAGATTTGGTTGTTCTGTACTGTTGAATCAGAACTGACTCATTGAATCCACCAGCTGTTCTTTCGTGGAGCTGCTGGTGGATTTGAACCATGTGATTTGGGGTTGGCTCCTTACTGCTAAGCCACCAGAACTTCTTGTGTTTGTATATAACTTTGTAATAGTCTTAGAAGAGGATCTGAAAATGTGTGTAAGTATTTATTTGCAGAATTTGGAAGTTGTAAGAATAGGTAGAAACTACTTAGAATTATTCTTAATGCTGATTTGGATCAGAGCTAGAAATCAATCCCCTTCTTTCTGGACTCATGCCTGGTTTTTGCATATAGGAAAACTAAAAAGTGACAGAAAGCGTCACTGTCCTCTGCATTCTACCAAGATCTGAAGGCCATAAAAACCTCTGCTTGTTAATTTTTTTCTATTAAACTGCTCTTTTATAGTAAAGGGTGAATGTATTGCTTCCCCTTGGCCCCCCCGGCGGTCAATATACATGACTAGGATGCTCTGGTGGCAGAGTCCGTAAGGAGTGGCAGAGCTATCCCAAAGGAGGCATCTTTCTGATGGTTCAAATCCAATTGTTCGGTGAGAGAAAGCCGAGTAGTCTCTTCTCATGGGATTGACAGCCTTGGAAACACGCTGGAGGGTCAGCTGTGAGTTGATTCCAACTCAGTGTCAGTGAAGTAAAAATA